CACATAAATTTACTGTTCTTGCCAGTCTTTTTGATCCCTCAAAAGATTCTTCAGGGGCGCCTGGGTGGCTCCTAGATGGTTAAGCGTCTGCCTTCGGCTCAGGTCATGATCCCGGGGTCCTGGGATCGAGTCCCGCATCGGGCTCCCTGCTCGGCGGGAAGCCTGCTTCTCCCTCTCCCACTCCCCCTGCTTGTGTGCCCTCTCTCGCTGTGTCTCTCTCTCTGTCAAATAAATAAATAAATAAATTTAAAAAAAAAAAGATTCTTCAGAAGAGCAGATGCTGGCTCCCTCATTTTACAGATACGGAAACTAAGGTTCAGGAAGGTGAAAGGACTAGTCCAAGGTCACACAGTGAATCAGAGGTGGAGCTGGAACTTAGCTGTTAGGTTTTCTGACTCTCAGCCCAGTGTTTTCTCTACTAATTTAGGAAGAAGGAGAAGTATGTTTGTATAATTTGCAGATCAGACCTAAAGAAAGTTAAGCTATATTAGGACTCAGGATGTAGAGTTCTGAAGGGACCTTGCCGCCTTCATCCACATCTTCACCCCAGTTCTTGCACACACATTTGAGGAACTCAGCAGAAAGGGAGTAATTCTTTTTCCCTTAGGGTTCAACAAAACTTTCATGACAGGGAGCTGTGGCGAAGCATCCAGAGGATGTCAGTGTCTCCTCATCCATAAGGAAGGTTGGATTCCCAAGGCTTACTAGCCTGGAATAACCCTTGGAGGAGGAGCAGAGGAGTATCGGAAGAACCGGTATGTCTTCTGACCTCTGCAAGCTTTAGCCTAAACCAGGTGAAGGTTGGGCTGAGGCAGGACAGTGGTAACAACTGAGGATTGGAGCCTTGAGGAGTTTCATTCTATCTCCTGCTGGTAGATTTAGTCTGGGGTTTTGGACAAGCAAGTTCCCTTCATTTGAAGTTTATAAAGAGGAATTCTTCGGCTACTCTTTAAAAAACAAACAAACAAATAAATCCTTGGTTCTGGTACCAGAAAAGAAACCTTTCCCAAAGTCTGTGCCTCAGACAATTCCTTCCTTTTGTCTCCTTCCTTACCTTCTCCTTTCACCCTTTTCCTCTCCCTCTCTTTTCTCTTATCCACCCGGCTTCCCTTCTTATCCTTTTCTCTCCTCACCTCTCCCTTAACTCCTGAAAACAAGAATGGAAAAAGGGAACCTTCAGACAACAGATTAGTAGATAGCTGGTATTAAAGATGCTGGGGCCGAGAGTCATAACGTAGAGCTTGAGATTTTGGACCTTACTTCTAGACCTCAGAGCAGAGGTTGACGGGGAAGGTGCTTATTTTATTCATTCATTCATTCACTCACAGTGTCTCCTAAGTATAACCTGCCAGGCTCTGTGTCAGATACTTAGGCTATTCCAGTTAATAAGACCCTAAACCTGCCAATAAAATTACAGTCTTACGGGGAAGACATTAGCAGCAGTAGACCTCTCCCCTATTCCCCCATTCATATCATTGGATTTTTTTTCTAAGTTGTATTTATTTAAGTAATCTCTGTACCCAGCATGGGGCTCGGGCTCCTGACCCTGAGATCAAGAGTCTCATGCTCTTCTGACTGAGCCAGCCGGGTGCCCCAAATCATTGGCTTTTTAAGGTAGAAAGAACTTTAGAGTTTATCTGGTCCTCTAGATCATAAAGTACGTAAGTAACCGTATGCAGGCTTGGGTTCAAATCCTAGCTGTGCTGCTTACTGGCTGTTTGACCTTAAATGGTACAATTAACTTTGCCCATATTCAGTTACCTTGGATATCAAATGGGCACGCCATCACCTCTTCACAGGGTAGTATGAGGGTTAACCTCATAACATCTAGCCCAGTGCTTGGTGCATAGTAGCATGTGTCTTTCTGTCATTCTGCATCAAGGCTTGGCTTAAGTCCTTGCTCCTGTGAAACTTCTGAGGCCACCTCCAGTCAGCCTGATTTCTTCATTTTTACAATGTGTGGAGCACTCTTTGTACTGTTGGATCCTGCCTAATATTAGTAGTAGTCCTTTTGCAGGAAGTTCACATAGTCCCACCCTGGAATGCAAGGAGCCTAAGGATAAGAACTGTTCTTATTCATCCCTGTGCCATCTGTAACCCCTAACTTAGAGCTGTGACCATGACCAGCCACGCCCAGGAAGTATTTTTTGATTGATGGGCTAGAAGGCTTCTATAAATATGCTCGGTGTTTTTCAGTGAAAGAAAGAGCTTTTAAAGACCTGGCCTGGAATCTCCCATCCTAACACCTCCCCCATCTCCTCTTCTGTTACTGCAATGATTCTCACAAAATCCCTGTCCTATAATCAGGATGGGGATTGTATCTCCATTTTGTAGAAATCTGAGGCTCAGATTAGAACCCAGGTCCCTTGTTAGGTGATAGATCCCGAGTAGGGTAAGAGTAGCAAGAATGAGAACAGAAATCTTAACTGAGTAGGTCTTCATTCTCTGGAACCGGCAAGAATCTTTACAAGAAGAAGGAACAGAGGAACTGGTTTTGAGGCTTAAGCTGATGATGAGGCCAGAGCCAGGTGTAGTCACAGAGATGATTCAATAATATGACAGAGTGGTGAGAAAAAGCGTTCAGGATAACTTTATAGATTGGCTAGGCCTTGGAAGATTAAGAAGGATTTGAATACGTACAAATAGACAGGAATTCCAAGTGAGACAACAGCATGGACGAAAGGATGAGAGCTGGAAAGCCCATGACAGAGGTAAGGCAGATGATGACCAGATGAAGGCATACTGAGCAAAGCTGAGGTGATTGGGAGCCATGACTTTTTTCATTTTTCTTTTCTGAGCAGGGGAGTGGCATTGCGAACATTGGTCTGGCAGTGTGGACTCAGTGGTTAACGTAGGAAGGGATAGGGGGAGACTACTGAAAGACCAGAGAAGAGGCTACTGTAACAGTCTGTCCTTATAGTGTCAGTAAATTTTAAGAAATATTCCAGCCTTGCAGGCAAGAGATAGTGAGATCCTGAACCAAGAGGAAGTTGTCACAGTAGGGAATAAAGAAGAACTGTTTGGATGTAGAGCTCTTAGAACAATAACGAAAAAATGCATGAGGAATTGTGGGAATGGGGCATGAGGAAAGGAGAGGTTGGAGTGTATGAACATTTGGAGTCTCAGTACTTGGAAGAATGGTTGTACCATTCGCTGAACTCTAGAGGAGGAGACGAGTTCGGTTTGTTGACATATTGAATTGGAGGTGCTAATAGTCTTTTCCCCTTACTGCTCACCTCCTAGTATCTCTGGCCTTTGACGTGGGCCTACAGAGATTCTTCAGTTCCATGTGTTTGCTCCTTTGCCTCCAGGCCTGGAGCCCCCTAGAAACCCCTTCACCCATGTCTTGGAACAACTGTCACTCTCTTGTGTGAAATAAGATAGTCCATGTAAGATTCTTAGCCTGGTACCTAGTCTGTTTCAAAGGGTACATTCATCGTTAGTGGCTGTTAAATGGCGATGGTCATGGTTGTCGACGCTTTCTGCTCACAGTAGCTAGAGATTAGAGAAGCGTGTGGAACCACCGGACTGAGGGACTCAAGAGTCATTCATCTGGTATTCAGTAGGAAACCTGGACTGCAAGTAAACGGAGAGGATTTCAGGCTGGGGGTAATTGAGGCTCTGAGCCATATTGGCTAGGACTAGAGAATGTTTCCTGTCTTTTTTTTAAGAAGTTGATGTAGTATGGTTAAGAGGGCAGGGCAAGCCCCAGAGGATGGACTTTCTGGGTTTAAGTCTGAGCTCTGCCTTCTGTTAGCTGTGTGGCTTGGGCAAATTTACTTATCTGAGCCTCAATTTCTCTAGTAGTAGAATGGGGGAAATAACATAGCAACCTTTATAAGACTGTTGTGCAGATTAAATGAGTTAATATAAATAAAGGGTTTACAACAGTGCTTGGCATGTACTACTGTTCTCCTTAACCCTGGAGTCTCCTCTATTCCACATTCCAGGTAAATATAGCCATTTCCCTGTTTTTCAACCATCCTCACCAACAGAAGAGGGGATGAGTAAAGAAACCTGAGACCAGTTTTAGAGTGCTTGAATTGTCCCAACTGGGGTCCGGGTTATCTAAGCTGGAGGAACCTGGCCCAAGATTGAGACAGAGTTGTCTGGATGATCTGAATTCCATTCCCAGTTCTTTTTTGTTAAGATTTTATTTTTAAGTAATTCCTACACCCAATGTGGGGACTGAACTCAAAACCCCGAGATCAAGAGTTGCATGCTGTACTAAGCCAGCCAACTGCCCCTCCATTCCCAGTTCTGCCACTGATTTACTTTGACCTTGGGCAAGTCACCTAACCTCTGAGCCTGTTTTCTCAGGTGTAAAATAGGGAGCGTAATTAATTCCTCCATATATATTTAGTATCTCATTTTTTCCATCACCACATTCTAGTTATATTGACTTTCTTGTTCTTTAAGCATAACAAGCTTATTCTTGCCTGTTATTGCTGTAGGGTCTTTATACTTGGTATTCTCCCTCTCTGAAACAGTCTTCCTTCAGATCTTTGCACCTCTTACTCCCTCACTTCATTCAGGTCTCTTTCTGGTGGTCACCTCTTGGAGAAGGTTTCCCTGATTTTTTTTTTTTTTTTTTTTTTTTTGAGAGAGAGCACGAGCAGGGAGGAGGGGCAGAAGGAGAGGGAGAAGCAGGCTCCCCGCTGAGTAGGGAGCCCCATGCGGGGCTCGATCCCAGAACCCTGAGATGATGACCTGAGCTGAAGGCAGATGCTTAACCCACTGAGCCACCCAGGTGCCCCAGGTTTCCCTAATCATTTTATCTAAAATAGGCCTCATTCCCACTCCTTGTCATTCTTTCCTCTCTTACTCTGGTTTATTTTTCTTAATAGCACTTAGCATAACTTGAAATAATGTATTTAATTATCAACCTATCTTTTGCAAAGATGAGAGACATGTGAGAGCAGGAACCTGGAATACCTGTGCTGACCTAAGTTCATGCCTGTTCTGAGCAGGACCCTAACTGACTTCTCTCTCTGTTTTAGGTGAGCCTTGTTCCCAGAGGCAACTGGTGCTGACCCTGTGACCCAAAAGAGAAAATTGTGGGCTGAGCTCAGCCTTGGTACTGGTGAGTGAGGGTCTTGGGCAAACTCTGGGCAAGCTTGAGCCAAGATATAGGGTAATTAGTTTGGGGCTTATTTTTATCTTTAGTACAGGTAACTTCTAGGCAGTTACTCTCTCCATGTCTGAGAGACTGGCATAGGCAGGCTCCTGTACCGGGGGGAGAATTGAACTTGGCTTTCTTGGAACTGCCATAAGATGGTTTGGGATCATTTGCGGTGAATAAGGCAAAGCGGGATCAATTCCTTCTGGCTTCTGCCAGCTGCTTTGTCTTGGAAGTTATCTTGGACCTGGTAGCTAAGCCCATTCTCCTATAAGCTCTCTTAACATGACCTCATAGCCCTTAGAAACTTTCCTGATTGCAGTCTTGACTGTGACCTACCAAGCCCCTAGGTCAACTTCAGAAACTAGTTTTAATCAGTCCTGGAAAATGTGATTATGAATGGTGGTGAGGTTGGAGTGAAAGAGCTGGGGTCGTGTGAAAGGGAAGTCAGGGGAAACTTAGAAAACCACAGGTAGTGAGATGGGAAGGGAGATCAACACATTAAGAACCAATTGTGTTATGGGTCTCATTTAATCTAGACAAAACCCCATTTTATGGATGAGGGAATTGAAGCTCCGGAAGCACAAATAATTTGCCTGAGGTATGCATCTGAGAATCTTTAAAGCTGATGTTAGACCCGGTCAGTCTATTTTAAATACCATTGCTCTCCCTGGCTTGGCAGACTTTCCTTGGACTGCTATTCTCCCTGGGATCCTGAGTTTTCTTATAAAGTTCAAGAAGACAGACCTCCTTAGGGATTCAGGAAGGAGGTCTAGTTATTTGAGGGGCCCAGCAGGGCAGGCAGGAGTTGGGGGTCCTTTCTGAGGCAATGGTGTTTCTAGTGAGGGAGCCAAGAGGCTAATAGAATCTTCTCTAGCAGTTAGAGGCCCAGGCTCAATATAACTAGGAGGAGAAGAAAACACCTGTAACACATGAGATACTGTAAACACTCGGGCCAGCAGAGATAGGGACCTAGACAGCTGGATTGGGGTTGGGAAACCTGGGTTTTTATCTTCTTTCTCAACATTTGTCCTTGGACAATCTCCCCTCCCCTATTTATAAAATTGGAATGCTTCCCCGCACCCCCACATGTCTATTGTATGTATACCAGCCTGCAGGATGTTGCAGAGAATCAAATGAGAAATGCGTGTTGGAAAGCTCTGTGAATTGTAAAGCACCATGACTGAAATGAGAGAAAGTGAGAAGAAAGCATTATAAGTATCCCTGGCACCTTAGTCCCTGACCTGTTTGCTACTCCACTCCCCAAAGGGAAAAGTGAAGGTTTTCCTTTGGAAATTTGTGCTGTAAATCTTCTTCCATGCCCTTTTCTTCCTCTTCTTGTGCAGATTCTACCTGAAGCTCAATCTTTCCACAAGGGAAGGGACTCCAAGGCACAGAAACAAAGCCAGGCAGCATAGGCAGCATGATTTGCAGCAGGTGGGTTGCAGAGTGCAGGTTTAAATGCACTCGCACTGCTGGCTCCAAGGCCACTGCTAGCACAGATATTAAAGCACTTTTCAAGGGCCCATCCCCAGCATGTGTCTCCACTCACTGACTAATTCCACATAGATCTTGCCTTGTTTCCTACTGTCCTCTCAGAAGAGGAAGGCTGTTCCTATTTTGGCCTTAAGTACCCTGCCCATCCCCACCCCTCACCCTCCCAACTGCTAGTGGAAAAGGCACTTATATTATGGCCTCATAATCTTGTCAGGCGCCATGGTCATCCAGTTTTCCCACCATCTCTCTCTTGCCCTTGGCCAGTGATATAGGCCACTCTCTTTACATTCTCTAACAGTGACATTTATGTTCTTCCTTCTTCCTGAAGGTGTACAGAGGGCTCTGTCCCCAACCTGGTGCTCTTGGAATCCGCATTAGCCAACCTTCCCTCCTACTCTGAATCTCCAGGCTCTTGCTGCCACCTCTTACTGTCTGGTTAACCTAAGTTCTGTAGCTTCTGGCTTTCCCATGGCCTGGGTGCCCAGCTTGGACCTTACTGTTTTTGTACCAGCTGCCCTCTGAAGAAGTTCCATCATTGATTGTTTCAAAATATGAATGATTCCATGTAAAAAAATATCTTGCTTATTTATCTAACATACTCAAGTTTCTACTAAAAACAAATTTCAACTAAAAAGAAGGAAGCAAAACATTGTCATCCTTAAGCCCTTGCACAGCACTAATTTATTCCTATTTTTATATGTTGTTGTAACAGGTTTAGCAATCTGGTTTCTAAACCCCCATAAGATTGAAAGCAGCATATCAAAAAGGGAGGAGGAGCTGCTATATTAACAGCAGCAAGAGGTGAGAGCTGAGAGCTAACAGTAAGGGAAGGATGAAAGAAGAATGGTAAGAAAGAGAAGTTAAAATGAGTATGGAGGCCATTCACTTTAGGGGCAGACATCTGTGTGCTTCAGTGAAGTAGAGTTGATAATATTTAAGGTAGTTCTAGGTTCCTCTTGAGACCGGGGGTATCAGAAAACGCTAAATTATTTATAATGTCTACTATATTATCAGATGCTATACTGAATGCTCTACATAAGTTGATTTCATTTTCATAGCAGCTTGGGAGGTAGGTGGTGATATTCTCATTTTAGAAATTACTGAGGCTTCGAGAGAGACAAATAGGCAGTGATTGGAAGAGCTAAGCTTAGAACCCAGAAGAATCCAGCTCTAGACAACCAAGTTTTTTCTATTATCCTATCCTAGCCTATAGGCTCTTTCCTATATATAAAGACCTGAAACCCTGGTCTTTCTCAGCCTCTTGAGCCACTGGTTTCCCCCTGCCTTTTTTTTTTTTTTTAAGATTTTATTTATTTATTTGACAGAGACATAGCAAGAGCAGGAACACAGCAGGGGGAGTGGGAGAGGGAGAAGCCGGCTTCCCGCAGAGCGGGGAGCCCAATGTGGGGCTCGATCCCAGGACCCTGGGATCATGACCTGAGTCGAAGGCAGACGCTTAACGACTGAGCCACCCAGGCGCCCTCCCTGCCTTCTTTTTATTCATTCTCCTGTATAAAACTTTATTATTTAAGATATTCGTTCAGTGAGTATTATTGTCAACCATGTGCCAGGAACAGCTTTGAAATACAGCAGTGAAGAAGATAGTTTTCTCTTTTGTAGTTCAGATTCTAGTGGAGGAAAACAGATAGACAAATGTCTATGTATGAAGAAAAATAAAGCAGGGTAAGGGAACAGAGAGGGACTTAGCAATGAAAAAAGGCCTCTATGAGAAAATAGATCTGTGCAGAGATATGCAGGATCTGAAGTAGTGAGCTCTGTGTGTATCTTGGGGAATAACATTCCAGGCATAGAGTTCAAATTCAGAGACCCTGAAACCGTTGCATGCTTATTGTGTTTGAGGAGCAAAAGGAAGCCAGGTGGCTGGAAGTGGAGTGAGCGAGAGGGAGAGTGGAGTGTGAAGAAGTCATAAGGGTAGACAGGGACCCCAGATCATGCAGGGCTTTATTCTGCGTGAAACAGGAAGCTGTTAAATTGTTTTGAGTAGAGGAGTGATATAATCTGACATCCAGTTAAAAAAAAAAAAAATCCCTGTGCCTCATTGCACCAGTTAAGACCTCCAGCACAATGTTGAATAGAATTGGTGAGAGCAGACACTCTTACCTTGTTCCCAATTTTAGGAAGAAAGTGTTCAGTCTTTTACTATGAAGTATGGTATTAGCTATAGAGTTTTCTGTAGATGACTTTTATCAGGCTGAGTTCCCTTCTATTCCTAATTTACTGAGAGGTTTTACTATGGATGGATGTTGGGTTTTGTAGATTGTATGTTTTTTGTCCTTTATTCTACTAACATGGCACTACATTGATTTTTGGTTATCAAACCAACCTTGTACTCCAGAGTAAATCCCACTTGGTCAGAGTGTATGATCCTTTTTAAATGGTGTTGGATTTGCATTGCTATTTTGGTGAATATTTTTGCATCTTTGTTAATGAGGAATATTTTTTTTTTTGGTGAGGTCTTTGATTTTGGTATCATAGTAATAACTGGCCTCATAGATTGAATTGGAGAGTGTTTCCCCCTCCTCTGTTTTCTGGAAGAGTTTGTGAAGGGTAGGTCTTACTTCCTTTTTGATTGTGTGATACAATTTATCAGGGAGGCCAGTGTGGGCCTGGGCTTTCTCTATTGGAAGGTTTTTAATTATTAATTTAATTTTTGTTTCTTGGGGTTTTTTTTTTTTGCTTGTTGTAGGTCTACTCAGATTTTCTGTTTCTTTCTGAGTCATGTTTGATAATTTGTGCCTTTCTTGAAATGTTTTCATTTCATCTAAATTGACTAGTTTCTAGGTTTAAAGTCGTTCATGGGGTTGCCTTGGTGGCTCAGATGGTTAAGTGCCTTCGGCTCAGGTCATGATCTCCAGATCCTGGGATCGAGCCCTGCATCTGGCTCCTGGCTCTGGAGGGAGTCTGCTGCTCCTTCTCCCTTTTCCTAACCCCCTGCTTGTGTTCTGTCTCTCTCTCACCTGAATAAATACAATCTTAAATACATACATACATACATATAAATATAAAAGTTGCTCATAGTATTCCCTTATAATCCCTTTAACTTCTGTAAGATCAGTAGTGGGTATCCCCTTTTTCATTCCTGGTTTTGGCAATTTGTATTTTCTCTTTTTCTTGGTCAGTGTTGATGTTTGCCAATTTTGTCGATCTTTTCAAAGAACCAACGTTTGGTTCTGTTCTTTTTCTATTCCACTAATTTCTTTCTGTAATCTTTATTATTTCCTAACTTCAACTTTCTCAGGGGCTGGTTTGCTCTTCTCTTTCTAATTTCTTAAGACTTAGGGTTTTTTGTTTTGTTTTGTTTTTTAAGGTGCTTTGCAGCCCAAACGAATGGTCTTCAGTATGTAGAGCTTCTGAGAGGGCCTAACTCAGAAACAATGGGGTGGACAAGTTGTCTGCATTGTTTGTTACCCACTGGGAGGGAGGGGGCTAGGGCTAGACCCCTAGTG